TGCTATCTTGAAGTACCAAAAAAGTTACAAATAAAAATGGCAGTGTTTATACTCTGGGTTTCTTGTTGGGCATATCCTGAAGACTAAACTTTGGAATTTCACCAGAAGGAGCATATGGAATTCTCTTTGAAGACACCTTCTTGCCAATTGTTTCAATCTAGAGGAGAAAAGAAAATTGTTAACAATACCTAAATGTAAAACTTTGTGATATAGTGTAATAAGGGCTAAAACCCAGATGATATATTTTTTCTTTTTAAAGGCAGAAAAAGTTTCTCAGGTTGTGTGGGTTGCTATGAAAGACCTTTGGTTCCTTCCATATTTTTTGTTTCTAGAGTCAGTCTACATCCCCTTTTCATATTCGTATCTAGACATGCTCACTCCTCTCATTCTTAACACCAGACTCCCTCAAACAGGATAGGAGATTACATGCCACTGTGGCTTTAAAAGCATATGCAAAAGCAATAAACAGGCCAGCTTCCCATTAACTCACATTCTTTCAAACTCTATTCTAATGTCTTTTTTCCCTTATTCTAAAAAACTTGCATAAGTTATAACAGCATAGTTATTAGAAGTTCAGGCTTCAGAGTCTGAAAGGCTCCAGTTGGAATCCTGACTGATAATCGCTGATACCTAAACTCTCGAAGGTCTTTCTTCCTTGTTCGTAAATGGTGTTACCCACCCACCTCAAAGGGCTGTGGTAAGGAGTCAACTAGATAAAGCGCTCAGGACAGTGTCTGGCATTGTCAACCTTCAATAAATCAATAGTAGGCAGTTCTCATTTTGCATATTACATTTAAAACTTCTCCCCCTCTTTCCAAAATTATCAATATTATCTTTAAAGACACTGTTTCTTTAATAATAGTTTATCTCCTCTCTACAGCAGAGATAAATATACTATATAATTTTCAGAAATGTATTTTTAATTAAAAAGGACATTTTTAATTAAAAATTAATATTTAATGCTGACGCATACCACAAAGGGCTTCTGCTTTGTTTACTTATTTATTTGGCTGGCCCAGGTCTTGGTGGCAGCACTCAAGACCGATCTTCACTGCTACATGCAAGATCTTCAACTGTGACATGCAAACTCTTGGTTGAGGCGTGTGGAATCCAGTTCCCTGATCAGGAATTGAAACCAGGCCACCTGCGCTGGGAGTGTGGAGTCTCAGTCACTGGACCACCAAGGAGCTCCCTCTGCTTTGTATTAATCAATTGTCTTATTTAATGGCTTATAAATTCTCTTTATTTAGCAATTCCAGTCTAATAGTTTTTTTTTTAACCCTTACTAGGAATAGTTAATTATAAGAGCTCAAACTCATTTAAAAAATATATATATATATATGTCTCTGCCTTTCTCCTCTAGATGAGTAAAACAGCAATGAGAGAAAATGTTTCTGTGCCTGCAAATAATGTTTAAAAAACAACACTGCTAAGTTAAGTCATGATTGGGAAAAAGAGTCCCATTACTCACAAGGAGGGGCTGAATAGAAGGGTCCCCAGGGTCTTTGATGGAATGTGAACGGACAAGGATGTCATCTGATTTGTGTTGCATGATAATCTCTCATGACTGGGGAGTGGGCACTGAATTCTAAGTAAGAAGGATCTTCAACAAGTCAGTGACAGGTTGAGAGAAACAGATCAGATATTTTGAACGGGGAGCGAGGTCTTATCAGTACCTCTCCAAGACACAGCTGGTGCTAAGCAGACACATATAGCCAACTCTAAACACTGCCACGCTCTGCTCTGCTCTGGGACTCTGCTGACAGCAAGCTCCAGGCAGATTTCTTTATCCTCCCAACCTCCCCCTTGGGGCCCAGACTCCACGTCTGCTGAGGAAATGGAAAGTGGCTCTTTCTTATTAATACCTTTGAGGCCCCTGGTAGAACTGAAGAGGATGCAACATAAAATGTACTGTGCCGCTGTCTGCTCTCCAAACGTTCCATAACTAACAGACAAGCGCTGAATGAAGACAGGGCCAGCACCACTGCAGCTCCCATACTTTCCATTCAGACCTCTCAGGGCACCAGCATAGTGCTGAGCACTCAGAGACAGAGATCCTAAAGCAACATGGGACGGCTACAGTATGAAAACATTTCTAGAGGCATAAATAACCTGGCCTCTGAGGGGGTCAGTGTGGTGGGCACAATGTCACAGAGCAGCTTTGGAGGCTCTAGAAAACAACATTTTTTTTTAATGCATACACTTTCTTACTTGATGTTTATATGAGGTAGGGTGAGGCACATCTTGGCCCTATAAACTTTGTAAGAGAGACCAAACTGAACGACCTTTAGGTTATGAATTTGAGGAGGGAGTGGAGTGCTTCACAAATACCAGAGAGACTCCCCAGAGAACGGACTGACGTTTTCCCAGAGCTACGTTATTGCTAAAGGAGAAAATACCAAAATCGTAACAGCCAGGGATTTCCCTGGTGGTCCAGTGGTTAAGGATTAACCTTGCCAGTTCAGGGGACACGGGTTCGATCCCTTATCCGGGAAGATCCCACATGCCGAGGAGCATCTAAGCCTCTGTGCCCCAACTACCGAGGCCCACATGCTCCAGAGCCTGGGCTCTGCAGCAAAAGCAGCCGCGAAGATGAGAAGCCTGTACACCACAACAAAGACCCAGTGTGGTCAAAAAATAAATTAAAAAAAAAAAAAAATGAAAAAACTCAGAGCCATTTTAAAACACACACGACCAAATAAGTGAAACAAAACCAAGGCAGGATGATGCTCACCTGGAAGCCAATGGTTTGTAGCTCATTGTGGAGCCCATCCAGGACACGTCGTCCATCAAAGATAAAGGCTGGTTTCAGCATTTTTTTATGAATGCGTTCGTAATCCAGTTCCTACAGAGAAAGAACCAGAGAAACAATTAGAGCATATTCAGGAACGCGTACTGCACCCCAGATGCTATGAGAACGCCTCTAAAATCTTCCCTAATCTCGCTTCGGTCACCTCACCTTAAACATGTCCCACTCGGTGCAAATCACGACAGCATGGGCGCCATCACACGCTTCATAGGGATCCTTGGAGATGGTCACGAGCCGGGCCACTGCAAGAACCCAACGAAGGGCCGGAGTAAGGGAGGGGTGATCGCACATTGTGCATTTTAACACCAGGGTTGCAGGGGAGTTCAGAGTCTGACACAGCGGAATGGTCTGCTTGAAATAGAGTGGGGGTAACGGGGAGGGGCCTGGAGTCGTCCCCAGTCTTGTCCCAGAAGCATCTCCTTGTAATCTCTGGGGCTTTTTAAAAGAATATCTTGGAAAAATCGTGAGACTAATCCACTTCATTACTTGATTATTAATTAGTAATTACATTCCTAATCCACTGGATTTCTTCAAATCAAAGTTGATGAAGCAATGTCTGAGAGTTTAATTTTAGAGAATTGAGGTTGAAAAGAGGAGCCTGGCAATGATAAAAATGACAAAAACTGAACAGCCAAAGGTTTCCAGAGAATAAATAAGTTTGGGAGCCCAAACTCAAAATGACGCATGAGAGACAAAGCCTGACTCACCTTGGTCATCCTTTGAAACTCCTGGATGAGAAAGATCCACAACTATTTGTTCCCTCGGTACTTTTGGGTCATATATATGGAGATGTGCGCCCTCATCCATCAAATATTTGCTAATATATATACTAGATGACTCTCTGAAGGAAAAAAACAAAACACAGCTTTGCTATGCTTCTGAATGGCAAATATTTTAATACCTATGGAATTTAATATACAGGTGAGATTCTATCTCTTGTGAGGATATGAACATCCACTTTTTTACTCTTTATACTATACACATACATGTATTTCACATACACAGCTGCCATCAAAAAAATCAGGAAGAGGAGTTAAGATTCTCAGAAAGGTTGAAATATCTGAAAGAATTAATACCTTGTATCACCGGTGTCCTTTTTGAAAGCAAACCCCAAAATAGCTATCTTCTTATCTGTCACTGTATTAAACAGACTATCTATGATCCGGGAAGCAAACCTCCTTCTCTGGTAGTCATTCATGTCTATAACCTAAAAGGACATGTACAATTATGCAAGGATCAGTTAAAAGAAGCACAGCCTATGCAAACACTGCTTTTAGCTTTATGGTTAGTACTCTTGTATGAACACAAGCCTGATGAATTAACAGGAGGCAAATGTTACCAACCTCTTTAGTATCCACAGATCAGAAAAAACAAAGAATTTTACGCACTCCCTTCCTTTCCCACTCCTCTCCACCCTGAAAATTTTAAGTTTCATTTGGTTTTAACTTTACATGCATCAGACTGGGATGGATGTTAAGGTGGGGAGCACATGTAAATTCCAACCCCATTTGAGGTCTGCCATGAGGCCAGCCTAAAAAGGCACATAGAAAATAGTGTTCTCAAAAAAAAAAGAAAAGAAAATAGTGTTCTCCTTAGCCAACTTCTCCAAACCCTATGGAAGCAATTAAACTCCAAAGTACTCGCTCATATGCTTAACCAGGTCTTTCATCAAAACTGGGTGTGAGCAGAAAGAAGGTAGAGAACAGTCAAACCGCGGACAGAGCTACAGTTCATCCTCCAGATGAACCATAACACCATGAACATTGGGAGAAATGTTTAACTAAATGTTACAAGTAAAAGTCTCTGATCACCTAATCTGTTACTCTCCTAAGAATTTATAAACAAACATCATATTGTTGACCAGAGGAATATAAGGAAAGACTTTTTTTTTTTAAGGCTCTAAGCTTCTAGAAGCCATCTCAGAGTCGGAGAGCTTGGGAAATGAGCTTAAAGCTTTAGAAAAATGAAGCCTTTTTTTTTTTTTTTGCCACATAGCTGTAAGGCATGTGGGATCTTAGTTCCCCAACCAGGGATCAAACCTGTGCTCCCTGCAGTGGAACCATGGAATCTTAACCACTGGACTGCCATGAAACCTGGAAAATAAAGCCTTTATCTGCATTTTCCCCACAATGGACAGTAACATAAAGCCGTTACACTAGATTGCGTGAAATGAACTTAGAACTGTATATTTCCCTAAAAATGCTCATTTCCTTACTTTCCTACTCACTGCTGAAATCTGAAAAATTATAAACCCGGGGAAAAAATATTTGGAAAAGGTACATATACTGACTGGTTTCTTGAGCAAATTACTTAACACTGTTAAGCCTCAGCTTCCCATCTATAAATGGGATAATTTTAATGATGAGAACTAAGATACTACAGATAAAGTGCTTTAAAGAGTGCCTGGCACAGAGTAAGCACTCAAAAAATGTTAACTCTATTTCCAGGTTGAGAAGGTCTCCAATTTTAGCTCTGTGAATCTCAAAGGGACAAAACAAATATGAACACATGCAAACCATTTGCAAGCATAACAATAAAGGTTCTTCTTTTATCTCTATCTTATGTCTTTCAAGATGAAGAACTACAATTAAAAGTTCTTGCTTTACATAGGGAGCAAATTTTATTATTAAAATTAAAAGGAATACTTGTTTATCATAAACTTTCATCATAGCAGATTACCAAAACAGATAAATGATAAACACAGAAGTTCAATAAATAAACCTAAAATGAACAAATTGAATATAATAATGATTGAGTTCCTGGAAAAAATTAATACTCTCAAAAACATTTGACAGAAAAAGATGATATGTTTTAATTGGAAGTTAATCATAACCTGTGGACTATAAATACCTGCTGCCAGTAACGAGCTACTTCAGGCAAATTCAGAGCCTCACAGAGATAAACCAAATTCAGAACATCCTTTTGAAAGCAACTCCCACCAAAACCTGAAGAAAAAAAAATGACAATATTTTCATTTGGAACCACACAACTAAATCATGTTACAAATTTCTGTGTCAATACTAATCAGAGGGCCTATGCTAGGATTTTTAATAATAAAATTTGAATGTGGGAAAATTAGTGAGTTTATAAATTATGTGAAATTTGTAAGAAACTAATCAACTCTATAAATAATTTCCTAATAGTTATAAATAATTTTAAATAATTACAAATAATTTAAAATAATTTTCAAATTAGCTTAAGTTTTATTGTGGCTACATTTCTGTGTTTTCCCTCATTAACTGCTCCACATCTCTCACTCTAACATAGAGCTGGCAAACTTTAACATTCCCCATAGAAAATATTTTAGCCTTTGTAGGTCAAGCAGTCTCTGGCACAACTATTCAACTCTGTCTTTGTTGCTCAAAAGCAGTCATAGACAATATGTAATCAAATGGGCATAGTTATTTTCCAATAAAACTTTATTTACAAAGACAAGCTGTGGGCCAGATTTGGCCTGAGGACTGTAATTTGCCCACCACTGTTTCAGTGCAATGCAGTATACAGTGAGGGTTGACATGAGCTTTGAAGTCAGACACACCTAGCTGCTCACTAGTTGTATGACTGAACAACTTAGGAAAATTCTCCCAATCCTTAATCAGCAACACTTTTATATAACAGGTGATAAATTAAGATATATAAACACCTGGTTCAGAACTTGCTGCATAACATGCCTTCAGGAAACAGCAGCTATTTTTATTAAATGGTCACTAGAAGAAAATATCGGAAAGACAGAAAAGGCCAGGAAATCAGTACTGAAAAATGGCATAAAGCCCCAGAAACATAGGAAGTGCTGCCTATGGCCCAATCTGTAAAAGACACTTTTTACGTTTACATCAACTTTACTAATTTAAATCCAAAAATATAGGCAACTCTCATTAAACTCAGTAGTTATGTCCTATAAATTTGCCACAAACACTGAATTAGCAAATACTGAAGTGTTGCTTGTAGGTAAAATACAGCATTAGGTTCCTGTGAGCTTCTGGTTATGTTTTTTGTCAACTGATCAACATAATCTTGTTTTATGTGTGCTTATATTTAGAGACACCTTATTTAAAAATATTGTTGACCTTCATTAACAATGAACTCAAAGCCAACAGCACTGAAGTGAAGCTTATCAAACCACATGTATTGTCTCTGTAAGGCACATCATGGTTTGCTGACACTTTGGAACACCACAAAAAATTTCAGCAATATTCTCAAGGGCCATTTTAAACAGTGAAATCACAGTGGGGCAGGAGGTCGGGGGGAAGCACCAAAATGCAAAAAATATGGTACTAAACAGACCACAAGAACAGCAGACATTTGCAGTATGTGAGCTAAAACAAGAAGGTAACTTCAACTGGGAATGTATGTGTTGGGCAACTCAAATTTTCTGCTGCTCTGTTCGTATCTGCAAATGACCATGTGAGTATCGATGCTGGGTTACAAATACATTTTAGCAAGTAGGCTAAATAATTCACAAATATGGAACTCACAAATAATGAAAATATTTCACTAAGGTCACATTTGTGTAAATGTATCAGTAGGAAAAGTAAATGGTAAGGAATTTTTTCCTATTGCTTCAGTAAGATGTTATATGATTTCTGATGTGATCTCCTAAACTTATTCTACCTAAATGTTCTAACAAAATATTAATATATTTCTTCTGAAACACTGAGCCATGTTTATACATTAACCAGTCACCAATTATTAAACAATATATGTAACTATTGTCTCACTTAGAAAGTCCCTGATAAGCTGAAGGCTACATGTATAATGAAATCTTTATTTTAAGGGTGTCAAGCAAAGGCTTCCTTAAAGTTAGAGATCTACCTAAAAGAACCTACTCGATGCATAGAAAACTTCCAGCTTACCAACACTGGCTTTCAGAAATTTACTTCCAATTCTCTGGTCCATTCCAATGGCTGTTGCCACCTCTTCTACATCCGCTCCTGTTGCTTCGCAGAGGGCACTTATAGAGTTGATGCTGCTGATTCTCTGGGCCAGAAAAGCATTTGCTGTCTTAAAAAAAAAAAAATGAAGAATACAATGAACTAAAATAACCATTTTATATAATCTGCATTATATTTCATCAAGTTGAGCAAATTATTGAAGGAGATATGAAAGTTTCTGATGGGTTCATTCTGAAGAGGCAATGGGTGGGTTGGTTCAGAAAAATGTTTTAAATTAGAGAAGAAAGGTGATTAAGAAAGGGTAAGAAGGGACCTCCCTGGTGGTCCAGTGGCTAAGACTCTCTGCTCCCAAAGCAGGGGGCCTGGGTTCAATCCCTGGTCAGGGAACTAGATCCCACGACATAACTAAGATCCCACACGCTGCAACTAAGACCCAGCTCAGCCAAATAAATAATTTTTTTTTAAACTTTTATGTATTTATTCTTTAGCAGCACCTTGAGGCATGTGGGATCTTAGTTCTGTGACCAGGGATTGAACCCACATCCCCTGCAGGTGGGAGCGTGGGTTCTTAACCACTGGACCACCAGGTACATCCCAATAAATAAATATTTTAAAAAATAAATAAATAAAGTTGAAGATTTTAAAAAAGAGAGAAAGTAAAAAGAAGGGAATGAGTGATTTTTAAAATTAGTATTTTAGTACACTCTATTTTCTTTTACATATTCTAAAATATTTTATACCCAAATATTTGATCCCCTTGTGGAATTATTTCACAATATACAAGAATATTATCTTATAAGCATATCTTTTTATTAAGAAAGTCCCTAGGCAGCTTATCAGGGGTAAGAGAACTAAGCCCTTGGCTTAAATTTAACAGAGAGTTGAGTGCTCCGTACGAACCAGTTTGGAAAGCTCTGAAGACCAAGTGTTGGTGGTGAGGATCTTTTCCCTGGGAACCCAGTGCTCATACACAGCACACAGCGCCTGCACAGCCCTCTGGCCCTCTGGGGTTTCATCCCCTCCAATCAGCACCCTGTCTGGGTTCTTCAGGTCCTTGATGGCCGTTCCTTCTGCCAAGAATTCAGGGTTGGACAGCACCTGGGATCCCAACGCAAAGGAACGTTTCAAGCTAGAATGAATTATGGACAACGCGGAGCACTGATGCTTACATAAGAAGGCCAGATTCGAATGCTTCCTTTTCCATACCTGTAAATTCAAGTTGGGTTTTGTGTTTGCATCAAATATTCGACGAATACTTTCTGCTGCCCGCACTGGGACCGTGCTTTTCTCGGTCACAATTTTGTAGCCGTGTGAGTTTTGCACGATGCGTCTAGCACAAGCTTCAATATACTTCAGATCTGCTGCACGGCCTTTTCCCATTCCATAGGTTTTGGTTGGTGTGTTCACCTGATGAAAGTATACGGAATTAAGAACAAAGTATCTGTGAAGTGTTCACTGATATCAAAATACACCCTGGACCATCAATTGACTAGTCAAGTGGGAAGTTAACATCATCAGTAGCCCTGGTTTCACCCTCTATTAGTTCCACGGAAATAATACATTTTATAAATATAATACCTTAGGGAACAGCTTGCAGTACCTGGAGAACTAACTCATTACATTTCTACATTTCTATTGAGAAGCTACTATATATGTGTCAGAATCAGGATAGCAGGATAGGCAGGGTCTAAGCTAAGACTGGGCTTCCCTCATAGCTCAGTTGGGCTTCCCTCATAGCTCAGTTGGTAAAGAATCCACCTGCAATGCAGGAGACTCCAGTTTGATTCCTGGGTCAGGAAGATCTGCTAGAGAAGGGGTAGGCTACCCACTCCAGTATTCTTGGGCTTCCCCTGTGGCTCAGCTGGTAAAGAATCCTCCTGCAATGTGGGAGGCCTGGGTTGGATCCTTCGGTTGGGAAGATCCCCTGGAGAAGGGAAAGGCTACCCACTCCAGTACTCTGGCCTGGAGAATTCCATGAACTGAATAGACCATGGGGTCACAAAGAGTCAGACACGACTGAGTGACTTTAACTTTCACTTCACTAAGCTAAGACTGGAGATATAAAGGTGAAGGAGACTCCAAAAGGAATTCATGGACTGAAATGAAATGTAAGTTCTCTCTTCTTCTCCTGATTATATGTAACATATTATCCTAGTCTTTAAAACTAAACTTAAAACTCCTTTTACTCTCCCTTTTTTATAGACCTATATCATTACGTTTTTATAAATGTCTGCAGTGTCATTCACAAATGCTTTGTTGGCTATTTAGAACTAGAAATTATCTAGCACCTCCAGGATACAGAATAGTATGCAAACAAAGACTATCATATAGAAAGAAAAATAAACCATGAGTTCAGAGTCCAGGCATTCAGTTTTGACTTAGCTGTATCATGTAACCATGGGAAAGTATGGCTGCCTTTGTTTCAACGACCTCATTGGAAAATGAGAATAACACATTCTCTAAACTCTAACACATGAGTTTCATAACATTCACATAAAAGTGAAAATACTCTGTGAAGTCTAAACGTCTATATAGGAATAACTTTTGAACCAGTAAGTAGAATCAATTTTCTTCTCTTGACAAACTTATAACTTCATGGGAGAGCGAATAAAACAATGAAACCAAAATAAATCAAAACATGAAGATTTAGATGAGGCGTGAAAAGCATGAGGGAAATTTGTGTATATGCATGGAACAACTTAGGAAAAGACTTAGGTATGGAAGTCAGGGTGCAGGAGCACAGAAGGGCAAAAACGACTGATAAGACAGTGTGAGACATGCTGCAGATGTGGGATGATCAGATGGTTTCCCCAGGTAAAGGAGCTCTAAAGATAACAACTGAAAACTGATTCATAGCATAAAACTATTCCTACCTGGAATTCGCCTAAAAATAATCTGGGTAATCTAGGATGGGAGAGAAGTATAAAGAAGATTGGGGACTCCCCTGGTGGTCCAGTGGTTAAGAGTCCATTCTTCCACTGCAGGGGGTGTGGGTTTGATCCTTGGTTGGGGGAACTAAGATCCCACATACCCCAAGGAGCAGCCAGAAAATTATAAAAACAAAAAACACGAAAGACCATGGTGACTGTTGACAATGGAGAATGGGTAAGTAGGGGTTCATTATATTGTTGGTTTCATCTTTTGCATAAGTTTGCTATTTTTTCATAAAGAAAAGTATACAACAAGCACAGTTTTTAAAAAAAAAAACCGATGCAGAGAAAAATGGAAACTAGGTAGGAGTCATATCACAAAAATAACTCTAATAGGCACACAAAGCAATAGCTTGGAAAGACTCAAGGGAGTCAATGGAGCTCTGGCTACACTGGCAGAGAAGCAAGTGTATAATCAGCTGTCTTGGCCAGAACACGATAAGGTGAACTCTATTGCCTTAAGAATAGATTCTTTAAAAAAATTTTTTTTCTTTTTCTTACAGAAAAGTCCCCTATTCCCATTCTAGGTTGTAGTTATCCAAATGTTGGACTAAGGTAACTTCTTGATTTTCTCCAAGCATCTAGATACTCCCAAATAATTTCTCCTTTTCTATGCCTCTACCCTGAGAGACTGAACTGAACTGAACCTGCAAGCTTGAGCAGACAAAGGGTAGGTGAGTCACAAAACTGGCACCAGTTCCTCTGAAGTAATTTTTAAAAAGAAAGACTGAATTCATGGCACAGTTTCACCAAGGATTTCATTACTACTTTCTCCTGGAGTTCATATTTTTTCACAGTACCGCTTTTGCCTCGATACACATAATCAATTCAACATAATCTCTACTCTGTGGACGCCCCTGGTGTTTCTTTATCTCATGGAACCCAGTCCAAGCTCATACCACTCTTTCCCCTTACTCCATAAGGCTATAAAGGTCTTAAGTCATATAACACCCTAGCTCAGCTACCACCTGGTGATAACTATACCATCACACACAGAATATTTGAGTTGCCAAAACAGCAAGAAAAAAGCTACCTTGGTTCACATGTTGTATTACCAGAGTGTATTCCCAAGCATTGATTCTACTCTTTTAATTACAAAAGTACAACAGTTAAGTTCTGTTATGAACTGAAGTTATTTATGGACTAGCCTAACAACCTAATCAAGACATGCCAAGTTCTAAATAATTAATTTAAAATGATTTTTGGAATATAAATTCATCTAGATAGGAGAGGGAAGTACAGTTGCAGTAAACTTTACCTGGTCCTTTTCACTGAACCTACACCAAGCAGTGGGACCAAGAAACAGTGAAACACATATACTATCACCATATGTGCTCACAAGTTATCGACACTTCCTAATTCTAGATCTCAGACGAGAACTTTCTCTGAACTTATTTATTCAATGATCTGAAATGATCAGATGACCACAGAGTTTGGTGAAGTGCTGGACAAAGTTAGTGATAATCAAAATTCAACTGGACAACTTTATACTAAGTAATGCTATGGCTTAATAGCACTGGCTTTATTATTAAAACACAGTGAAACTTCTATATAGACAAGAATACATTAACTCACACAGCAAAGGAAAATACTTACAGAAATAAATACAAGGTCAGCTTCCTTAATGGCATCATCAATATTGGTAGAAAAAAATAAATTTTTTCCTCGACAGGATTCTACCACTTCTTTTAGTCCTGGCTAAAAAAAAAAAATAAAAAGGAGAGAATTTGCACACACATTTTACCAGCCAGGTGAGATAACCCAATAGTACAGAATAGCAATCGTTAAGGGAAAGGTCATGTTGTAATTTAAAGGTAGATTTGCTCTCAAATAACACCTCTGGAGAAAGCTCAAAGACCAAACTGGTATCAAAGGTCATCTAGTGCACATCATGTGAGATAATATACAAAGCAAAACTGAACTTGAACAATTAAAGCAGCAGATCAGCTTAATGCATTTCATTGTTGACCACGTTCCAGACTATTTCATAAGAGTTAACAGTTAACGCCAAGTATCACACAATCATCAGGAAAGTCAAAGTCTTTCATGATTTCAAGCAAACATTTGATTTTGCATCGTCATTATGAATGTAGGTTTTACTCCCATGAATCCAGGTCATAGAACACAGGCCATTCAGACTAGTTGTGAAATAGTCACTATTTACACATGCATAAACTTATAATTTTTCTAAGTCCTATTATAAGAAACATGTCTATCAAAAAAATTGTTACTTTTCCCATATAATTTTTTAAGTTGATATGTTATATTTTCATTTTTATTCAGTTCAAGAAATTTCTTTTTTTTTTTTCTACATGGCATGCAGGATCTTAGTTTCCTGACCAGGATCAAACCCTTGCCCCCTGCAGTATAAGTGTGGAGTCTTAACCCTTGGACAGCCAGGGAAATCCCTGGTGTCACCAATTATAGCAACTGTTTCCTTATTTTGACTAGGCTCTAGAAAATTATAGTAAAAGGTTATGAAGCTGGAATTTTACAGAGAAGATTTAATTCAATCCTATATATAATCTTCTAATATTTAAATTAAAGTAACCTAAAATCACAGCAATGCAGAATTTATAGTCTTTTTTTTATATTTAAGAAAAATGTATTTTTATTTATTTGTTTTTTAACTTATTTTATTGACATATAGTTGCTTTACAATGTTGTGTTGATTTCTGCTGTACAGCAAAGTGATTCAGTTATAGTCATTACATACATATTCAATACATACACAGACCTTTTTTTTCATATTCTCTTCTATTACGGTTTATCACCAGGTATTGAATATCATTCCCTGTGCTATACTGTAGAATCTTGTTGTTTATCCATGTGCTCACTCAGTCATATCTGACTCTCTGCAACCCAATGGACTGTAGACCACCAGGCTCCTCTGTCCATGGAATTCTCCAAGCAAGAATCCTGGAGTGGGTTGCCATTTCCTTCTCTATGTATAGTAGTAAGTCTTAATAAGACCTCAACATGAACAACTACATTATTCCATTAAAATCAATGTGATATTTGTAGATATCCAAAATAGATCCAGAAGCAGTTAATAATACAGGTTCTACTTCTTATTAGGTTTATTATATAATTATCATAATTAGTATTTTGAATTTATATGGTACTTTTTAATGAAAAAACTTTCATAGGATAAAATTTGCTTTTGTTTTATTCAGAAAAAGTGAAGCAAATTATCCAGTTTGTTTTTTTAGAAGTACTTATTAAATGGATTTTTTAAATGAACAAAATTAACATAGAAGTAATAACTTTAATAAATATGGTAACACAAAATGTTTTCATTGTTAAATATTAATAGAATCTACTATTCTGTTCTCTGAGTAAAAACATGAATACCTTATTACCAAATTTCATCTGATGGTCATTACTATTTCCTTCTTAGGCAGTAAAAACGACTACTTTTTAATTAATATAACTTTGACCCATAAAATATAAACCTATAACACTAACCACTGGACAACCAGGGAAAAAAATCACAATGAACACAACTTGGCGGACCCTAAATACATGTAGCTGAGTTTTTCAATGTAGCTCGGTAATCTTTTTACTTGTCCTCTCATTCTGAGATTTACTGCTCCAACCTACACTACAGGTTCTTCAGAGGATTGTACCTCCCACGTTGTAACAACTGAGATTGACCAATGTTCCAGTCATTATTTCCTGTTCCCACCAACAAAACAGCATCTTTATCCATTCTTATTTTCATGCCTGCCTGCCCAGTCCTGTCTGACCCCACTGACTGTAGCCTGCCAGGCTCTTCTGTCCATGGGATTTTGCCGGCAAGCATATTGGAGCGGGTTGCCATTTCCTCCTCCAGGACATCTTCCCAACCCAGAGATCAAACCCTAGTCTCTTGAACTGGCAGGTGGATTCCTTACCACTGAGACACCTGGGAAGCACCATCCTTGTTTATTTCCCTCCAATTTCTGAGAAGGGGACTTTCAAGGCCAGTTCCTCTTCATGTGCTTTTGATCTCATCACCTTTGCTATTTTTCTAGACTTTATTCCATCAGTTAGCTCCTTTCTTCTTATACTTTTGACCCTTCCTTCTCTATGTGATTTGTCCACCTTAGTTTATTAACATGCTTGATTCTCTATCAACCAGAGGAAAAAATATAAATTAAAAAAAATCATTGTCTTTACCCCATGTCCCTCTCCACTGACCACCACCTTTATTTCCTTATTAAACTTTTTAAGAGTCATTCCTTTTCTACACTCTTACTCTTCCAATCTCCTACCACTTGTAATTGTTCTTGTAAAAGCTGCAATGGCCCCCATAATATTGAATTTCAAGAATATGTCTCATCTCTTATTCCTCCTGTTCCTGTCATAATTGACAGCTTATTCACTCAGCAAATACTTATCAAGCAGTTACTGAGTACTGGTCACTGAGTTAGTCACTCATAATCAAGACATACTTCTTCATGGAGTTTGCACTACTAAAATTCTTCTGGCTTTTGGTTCACCTTCTCTAAACTACCCTTCATAGCTTCTCTAAGGCATTCCTTCCTCCACCCACCATCAAACATTGGTATTTTCCAGGGTTCTGCCCTTGACTCATGCTCTATTCTGACTTTAGGCCCTTCCTGAGAGAGCTAAACTACTCTGACTTTACTACTGCCTGCGTAATATATTTTTTAATACCTGGATAATCTTAACTTTCCATCCTCAGCCTTGAATTTTTTTTCTTTTTTCTTTTTGGCCATGCCTTGCAGCATGTGGGATCTTAGTTTTCCAATCAAGGATTGAACCCAGGCCACGGCTGTGAAGGTGAGAAGACCTCAATCACTGGACCACCAGGGAATTCCCCAGCCCTGAATTCTTAAATGTCATTCTAGATTCGGTCCTCTTCTTCATCCTTTTATATAATCAACAGTCAAGTATGATCATTTTTCTGTCTAAATCTTTCCCTTGGGGAATTCCCTGGTGGTCCAGTGGTTAGGATTCTGAGCTCTCAGTGCTTCGGGCCTGGATCAAACTCTGATTGGATCACACAAGCCTCAGTCAGTCAGTCAGTTCAGTCGTTCAGTCATGTCTGATTCTTTGCGACCCCATGGACCAAAGCACGCCAGGCGGTGCTGCATCACCAACTCCGAGAGTTTATTCAAACTCTTGTCCACTGAGTCGGTAATGCCAGCCAACCATCTCATCTTCTGTTGTCCCCTTCTCCTGCCTTCAATCTTTCCCAGCATCAGGGTCTTTTCCAAAGTCAGTTCTTTGCATCAGGTGGCCAAAGTATTGGAGTTTCAGCTTCAGCATCAGTCCTTTCAGCAATTAATATCCAGGACTGATTTCCCTTAGGATGGACTGGTTGGATCTCCTTGCAGTCCAAGG